GCAGGTTCGTGTCTCACCTTTTGTAACTCAGTCACATACTGTACAGTGGCCTTGCGCACACCAATTACACTGATACACAATTCCAAAAATTATTCAACGCTCGGTCAGGACACACTAATTTGTTCAAGCCGAGTTTATCGTGCGGGACATACTGAACGCAAGTGCGCGCCGAACAAGCTGCTGCTGGCGAGACTCGTCAACTTCTGGCATAAAGCTGCGTGGAAATTGAAGGATGCGCAAAATACCCTCCATATCGTGTTGCAACAGCTGCTGCTGTAGCTCATCCAAAATGACAAGCGAGACGCTGAACATGATTCGCCAGCCGTCGATAATAAAGATGTCCAGCAATCGTATCACTAGCGTCGGTGCTAACGTCTCAAATGACGAGAAGAATGTCAAGAACCACCGGGTGCAGAAAGTAGCCACATGGACACCCTCAGCCATAAAGTGTGAGTATAACTTTGGCATGTGAGTCGAAAAAAGCAGCTCGAACTTGGATAGGTATGGTTGCAGCACAATCATCCCGGGCTCATAGAGATTCTGGCTGTTCTCCGGCTCCGAGAATCCAACAAATAGCCAGAAAATGTCGGCTTCGTCGTCAGCTACTTCAGCCAGCAAACGTACCAAGAAGCCCATCCCTTGGCAGTAGCCTACCCTCGGATTGTACACGGCATACGCACGAAGCACACGTCGCATCTTTGTTTCGAGATCTGACTTTCTTGCGTCGGCACTCTTGCCGCATTCCCTGGAACCCGCATGCGGATCAACAATCGGAGATGTACCCCGTTCCTCGATTCTGACTATGCTGTTCACCATATCGTTCAATACGGATTCAATCATATCTTCCTCATCTTTGTCAACGGCTGCAATGGCCATTACTGGAACTGGACGCAACGTGACATTGGCGTCGTTGCTTCGATGACACGTACGCACGACATCTACGTCAATTTCCCGGAACCAGACTGCAAGCTGAGTGTCATCTTGACTCTTTGGTAACCCAACACCCAGTTTCGCATCCACCTTTCTCAGGAGCTGCTCATATGTACTGCAACGTCTGCCAGCGGATAGATAATACGTGGCTAGCCTGCGACATCGCCACGGTGTAGGTCCGTAGAATACTGAAAGCCAGAGCGAACTGCGGGTATCTGGGGATATACCACCTGACCGTATGCACCTTTTCCAGATTGGAGCACAGTCTACCAAGCGAGAATGAAGCCGAAAGTTAACCTGTACGCATAAATTTTCAGTTAGTCACACTCTTATAACACCGGTACCACCGCAAATATCGACCTTGGAAAGCTGCGCAAGATCTTCAACGCGTAAATACGACAGGCACTCAAAGCACAGGCTTTCACCCTGCAATCGACAAGTGACGTGTCAGATACGCTTCAAATAATAGATCGATGGCAAAAACATGAGCCAAACCTTTCGAAGAAGTCTAGATAGAACGTCACTCGCGCCATCGCTGATTGCATCGGCCTGCAAGATTGATTTCCCCACACATTTACTCCCTCTCACATCGATCTCCCACAAACAGTACTCGACAGCTAGCCAGTCCGGAGGCGACTGAGGAATGACAAGAAGCTGCTCGCCACTCTGGAATAAAGCCAACGCTAGGTGAGAACACGCTCGTGAACTCATAGATACTTACAAACCGGAAGCAGTTCTTACCTTTCGCGATGAAGTGACAACACTTCGGCCGGTGCGTGCGGATGTTTCGACCGTTGGCGCGGAACTTTGCCGGATCACTCTCGTTTCCCCACTGGCGTAACTCAGCTTGTCTTGAATTGTTTTGCGGATAGTCGAGAGCATACTGCTGGCTCTTCGGGGCGTTCTCGGCTTCAAACTCACTGCTCTCGGCGAAGGAGACGTTAAGCGCCGGATCCTACCAGACCTCCCATCATCAATATTCGGTCCTCGAACTCCTTTGTCAAAGTCAATAACTCCTGCACACGAAGCCAGCGTGAGAAGCTTCGACGGGTCCACAAATCTGTCTACAGGCACACCAGCTGCAGCTGTCCGGGACACATTTCCAATCTCATAGTCCTCAGCAGAGAGCGATAAAGCATCACTCTCATCGTCCTCATCACTTCCTGAAATCGCTTCGACTCCGTCCAATGCGTTGGATGAGCTAGACCCGTCCACTTCAGTCCACCCGTCAGATGCTGAACATGACATCTTGCTGAACTTCGATGACAGTGATGCAGTAGACGCATTGTATCGCATAGTGGCAGACAATGGGAATGTACGATTACCATCTGAGACAACTTCCTGTTCGGATGGCGACAGGCTTGATTGGACCAGTTGATCGGCAGTCCGGAAGAAAATCGCACATTGAAGACGCTGTAAGGATAAAAGCAGTCAGAGACACTACAAAGGGGAAGTCCACAGCCATCGTGGTAGACTGACCATCGTGCTGAACAAGTCTGCTGCATGTACAGTAGCTGATTGATTCGCGTCCTCTACAGGTACACCCATCAGCAAATGCAACTCAGCAAAATCGATTAAAACTCAAACCATCGCATTGCGAGTAACTACTTACCCAAGTGCGGCAATAACGTTCTCTCCGCTTCCTGTAGTAGCGCAGCTACTTTGTGTATGTCTCCTTCTGCAAGCACTTGCTTCTCATGATCCTCAAGTCGTTGCGAGTGCATTTTTAACGTCAGCGCACGGAGCGTTTTCGATTCCGCTGCAAGTTTTTCCCAGACATCAATGTCCTTCTTTATGCGATCATATTGTTCCAATCTCGCTCGCAGTGGATTCATGACGGTGTACCGAAACGTCTGCTCCATGTTCGTGACATCTTCCTGATCAATCTCTTTCAGAGCACTTTTAAAATCGCCACCACACCATGTTTCTTCGTTTGCACTACCATAAACCCCAAAAAAACAAAGAGCATGAAAACAAGTTAGAATACACACATACACCACACTCAAAGTAAGCCCTTTCGCCCCCTCGCTCTCTCGCTCTCTCTCTCTCTCTCTCTCTCTCGTATACCTGCAGGTTTCAAAGAACGTTTCCGCCACGGTCGTCAGCGACGCAAACGCAACCTGCCAGCAACCTGTTCAGTATTCCAATGTACACAAAAAAGGACACAAGTCATCATTTCCGACGACGCTAACCTGGAACCGGTCCAGCATCTCGTCCATCTTCCGCTCAAGTCGCCTCAGCGCCTTCTCGTGATTACGAAAATGCCACACTGCCGTCTTCAGACGGAACGCAAACTCGTCCGACGGCTTCTGCCGTCTCCCCTCCTCTGCCGTCTCCCTCACGCCACCGATGGGCGTCAGGCGACCGAATGTCGTTCTCAACTCGTGCAGCATTCCACCACGCACGGCCTTCACCCGAGTTCCGAATCAGCAGTCGCGTCGTCGTCTTCGTCTTGGTAAGCGCGTGAAGTTCGCGGCTTGTGGTTGCAGGAAAGTCGAGCAGTTGCGCCGTCGCGGTCTGTTTCGTGCCCCGTCTGTCGTTTTTTCGTCGTCGGCGTCCGTTTTTTCTTCTCTCTCTTCCCCCCAAGTGTCGCAGTCAAAGCACATTCTTTCGAAACAGCTGGCTGGACGTGGTCTGGGCGTGGCCCATTTCTACATGAGACGGTTCCAGCGCAAGACGCAGCCGCAGCACGCGCAAAACGAGACTGACGAGGATTCGCCACCGAGAGGGCAGCGAAATGCATTCGACTTGCCCCCGCCTCTGCTTCTGCTGCTGAATTCCATCCAGACCATGGACCGAAAACCGCCTGTCACACTCGCGCTTGGCGGTGGGTAGAGAGAGACATGTGCAGCTGACCTTTTTCTGTCTGTGTGGAGGTATGGAAATGACTGATCATGGGGACTCGCGGGTAGGGGTCATGTACATGTTGCATGTAGTTGGGACTCGAACACCGTCGCTGATTCTACCTTTTGCACTGTACGTAAACGCGAATGAAGGTTTTGATCGACGGACCGTCTGTTGTTAATGCAGTTGCTCTTGTGACTTTTGTACGACTTTAGGTGTCCTGGACAAGTCGTGGCGAACAAAAGTATTGGAGCGGTTTTCATTGCACCTTTTATCCATATGGAGGATCTGCATCTCTACCAGAGCTTGTAAGTGGCTCGACATAGAGCGCAATGCTCGATTCTATGTCGTGCATTGATTCGTGTCTAATGTTGTATGGTGTTGTTGTATGGTGTTGATAGAGTGTCGTTCCTTTGGAAGGGGTACCAGCTTGAGGGAAGGCTTGGAAGCATTGGCTTCTGTGTGCTGTTGATCTACCTCATCGTTCTATCGCAAGCATTCATTTTGGTTGGAGCGCACGTGATATCATGGGTTGGTGTCGTTTGAAACCTATCATGACCTTATCGGCCGCGGCACAGTATTCATATGGATCTGGTTGTAAATGCAGGGGGCAATGTACGAGTGCTTTACGGGGCTCTCCGGTGTGCTGATAGCGATGAAGGTGGGTAGATGAACGTGTGTAGATGGACGTAGGTCTATGTTTCCAAGATCTGGTGTATTAACTACACGTTGCAGGCGATTTTGACCGTTGACTCGCCAACGTTTACTGAATTGCACAGCTTTATGGTGCCCACAAAATATGCCGCATGGCTGGAGCTGCTTGTTACTTACCTCTTTGTCCCAAAGCTGCCATTATTGGCCCAAGCTGCTGGACTTACTTCAGGTAGGTGATAGTAAATACTAAATTGCTCTACCACGTTTCTCACTTGCTTGCTGGAGTTGCGCTCCCAGGATACATCTACATTATGGCCCCAAATGCAGACGCGCTGGTCGGTAGTGCATCACGCATGATTCGAAATTTGCTGATTCGAGCAGGGTTTGTTAAACGACCACTTCGGTGGTGGCAAGTATGGCCAAGATTTATGAACACGCTCCGACGACGGAAGCAGCAGCGAGCAGCACGAAAGGCATAGCATGGCTACAAAAGTGGCAGCACAAGCACTTGTAATGATACTCTGGATCAACGCTCGATTCGACGACTGGGGCACTGTGCTTGTACTTTTGACTCAAACAAGGTGTTGGAAGCTCTCGGGTTGGATACTGTACTGAGGGGTCTCGCCTCCACCTCTGCTGTGCTCTTGCAATACAAAGGTTACCACGCCACAATTGCACATCTTGGCCGACTTGGCTTTATGGTACACGTGATGAGGGAAGAACTCCCGACAGAAAGCACGAAACCACAGTGAGTGTCCATACACGATAGCCACGTCTTTTTGCTGCTTGAAGAGCCACTGCGCAAACATCAGTAGACGGTCACGTCCACTGCCCAGCACCGCCTTGTTCCCGTGACTCTCAGCCACATTGAACAACTCGTCGTGACGCTTCTCCCCACGTGGTGCCTTCACAAGTACCTCACACGGTTGGACCGCATGCGGCTGACTGATAGCTAGCGTATCCAAGTTGCGGCCAATCTCCTGCAGGCACGACAGCACGTGAATCCTCTCGCCAGGCACCTCCAGTCTCGCTGCTGATGCAATGCGCGCCGTGTCAATGGTGCGCCTTAGATTCGACGTGACCACAACGCTACCAGGCAAGGGACAGCACAAGTAGCGCAGCCACGCGCTCTCTTCAGTCTGAAGCGGCGAGTCACAAAGTCCGTCTATTGTCCCTCCTGCTACTGTTATTGCTACCGTTTGATCGCCATGCCGGCTTCCTTCCAGTGATATCCCTCCCGCGTACTCCTGCAACTGCTGTGCCTGAAAGCGACCACGTCGACTCAGCGGTGAGTCCAGGAACACCGAGTCGCCGGTGGGTAGCAGCAGCCACTCGCGCAGTACTGCGCGAAAGAGACGGATGAGCGCCCGCAGATTGAAGCCAGAGTTAAAGACAACGTTCCACTCGGACTCTGCGTGACGGACAAATACGATTCGCCTGTACTTTGTCACAACAGCGACTTGATGATCGACTGCTGCATCAACCGGTACAATAGTTAGTGGTGGTACTGCTGCTGGGATGGCGGATGGGGTCTGCAACAGCCACTGTTTGTCACTGGAGAAGAGCAGGTGCAGTAGAGCGATGCTGAAGAGCTGCAGTTTCCACGCAATGTGGACTGCAGCATTGAGCAAAGAGGGCCAGATACCTCGTGACAAGAGGCGACGTCGCACGGTGCGATGCATCATTTGTGTTGAGTGGAACTGTAGTTTTTTACCTGAAAGGATGCTGGACTTTTCGAAGAATAGCTAGAAAACAACTTGTGCTGGTCTATAAATGACACAGTCACAGCGGGCGTGGTTGTATCAGTTCAAGAAGGTAAATGTAAATAGTGTCATCAACAGAAAACCGACTGTTTTCACTAAATTTTATCGAAGTGTTCACGATGTACGCTAAATATTGAAGCTTAAGTAAAGAGAGCCGTAGTGAGTTCACTTTTGTCTGTATACACTTGGCAATGCTCGAGTGACGTTCGGTGCCCAGCAACTACCAAGATTGTGCTTAACTTTCGGTAGATATAAGAACTAGCGCATACCATCTCGTCGCTCTTGCACGTAAGAGAGGAAACAGCATCAATACGTGTACGCATTACAATGACACGGCCATCTTCCGTGCTCCGAGTCTTTCCATGACCTAGACATGGAAAGACTTGGAGCCCGGAAGATAGCCGTGTCGTACGGTACCATGTTTTTTCGCAGGACCATCCCAGAATTGCTTCAACCCTTTTATGCTGTCGAGACGACGGCAATATGAAGACTTGGTGCTCTGTCCGTCGAGATCATGGAAAGACATGGAGCAATCGCGTGATTGTGCTGCATCGATCGATTGCGACATCTCATAAGACACGCAAGTGACCAGGAGCCACCGTCGCTTGGACCGAGCATTCGACTACTTCTCTGGAAAGTCAGGGCACTATTTCACCAATTCATTAATGCAATTCGCATGTGACTAATACATGACGATACGTTACGCCAATTGGCAATCACAACGTGGGCCTTGCTAGATAGACTAGAGGGAAACAAGTGCTTGTTGATCACCATTTCGACAAACTGTCGTCTCAGAGTATAGATGCTCGAAGCTGTCCAGCCACACGTGCCTTTCAATCACGCACGTGAAACATCACGCAGTAACAGCCATAGAAGCGATGCATTAGAGCTGCTGTGATTTGTGATGCTGGATGTCACGACTGATCTCGCTGCGTTGCAAGTGCGTAAAGTCATCAAGAACGGCCTGGACGACAACCATTGCGCATGTGCTTTAGACCATCAGGAAATATTTGCTGCGCAGAGTGTGGCACTTCTGGTATCGTGGCGCTACGCACGACTAGTTTACTAGCATTCGAGAGTGAAGACTTGAGCTAGTTACAAGAAGCGTATGTGGCAAAAAGACAAAAACGTGTAAACGCTGAATCCGTACCGTGTTGCAGCGTGCCTCTCGAGAGAAATAAGGTACGAGGTTTGTAAGCGGCTGACTTTAATGAGTGGAAGCATTCGAATAAGGCATACGGGCATGCGCACGAAGGGGATGAGGAGCGCCACCACACGAGACTCTACCCGATGCCTGAGCATCCTATGCGTTGCATTCTGCTATGCTTGGAAATCATCGGTAGTCGCTATCATTTGCAGTGGCAGCGGGCAGTTGTCAATGGCTTGCGTACGACATTGACACTGCGTGAGAGTAATCACGAGAGCTCTTTCGACCCGACCAGGTGACGTCGCTCTCCACCCACGACTGCCGGCGAACAACAGCTCAACAGCTTAGCAGACACTAAGCGTCAATCTTGTGATTCGACACACTCACGCATTTAACATGCAAGAATCTGCAATAAGATTCCAACAGCTTGCCACTTGTTAGACTTTGAGGGTAATATCCGTGTAAATGCGTAGGAGATCGTCCACTGGCCCAGCTGGCAAGCTCGAAGCCATGCCGTAGATAGCACTGCCGCCCTCTGGAGATGGATTGGGGTCCTTCTTCACTTCAATCACGGCTTCTTCAAGCGCGTCCAAGAACTTCTTCGCCTTACCAATTTGGCGAACGGTAACGCACAAGTGCACTGATGTCGGATGCTGCAGCGGATTGAGACTCCACCCGTGCTTGGCCATAGCGTCACTGACCTTGAGCGCACTGACACCAGTGTCACCAGCAAAACACACCACCATCGCCTTCGGGTCGCCAAGAAGGTGAATGCCATCAATACGCTGAATGCCCGCCTTAATCTCGTCAACCGTGTCCAAAATGCCCTTCGTCTTTTCCATATAACCTTCATGTCCAAGACGCAGCATCGCAGCCCAAGCTGTAGCACTCAGTGCTCCAGAACGGCTGCCTGCAAGAGTCGGCGTTGCGTAAAGTCCACCCGTCCAGTCTGGGTAGGCAAAGTATTGGAATCGACGAATGTCTGCGTTCTTGTAAAGCACAACTGACGTTCCTTTCGAGCCGTAGCCATACTTGTGGGTGTCGCACGACATGCTAGTAACGCCCGGCAGCGAAAAGTCGAACTCAGGAATATCCTGCCGCAGTTGACGAGCAAAGGGTAGCACGAACCCACCAAGACAACAGTCCACGTGAAGCCCAACGTCGTGCTGAACAGCAAGTTTCGACAGTGCTTCAATATCATCGATGATTCCATGCGGGAAATTGGGTGCACTGCTATACAGCAAAATTGTGTTGGCCGACATGCTCCAGCGCACTGCATTGACGTCCATCTTGAGCGTCTGGGGGTCCATCGGCACGTTGATCAGCTTGATGCCCAAGATCTCACACGCCTTGTCAATTGCCGCATGAGCAGTCACGCAAGCAATGATCTCCGGCTTCGTAATCCCGTGTTTATGGCGGTACCATTCGCGATGAGTCTTGGTCGCAAGAAAGATGCTCTCCGTGCCACCCGAGCTCAACGAGCCACACACGTCCCCGTGGCCGCCGTTCATCAGTCCTGCAGTCATGGCAATCACCTCCGCCTCAAACTTGGTCACAGCTGGCCACAAATCGCCATGCAATGGGTTGGACACGGCAAAAAGCGCGTAGGCTTGATTCAGCACGTCCAAGTGCTCCTTCTCGCCGTGATAAACAGCACCCGACACAAGTCCGTCTCGCCACTTGTCGTCATCATTGCCAGCCAGCTCCGTCATGAGCGTCAGCAATTTGGCGTCGTCCATCCCCTTTTGTGGCAAAGCATAGAGCTTCGCCATCTTATTGGCCAGTCGATCGTTCTTTTTGACCAATCGCTCGACGTCGTCTTCAAACTTTTTCATCTCGCGCGCCACTTTCGTCGACACGAACGGGAGCTGTTTCATCGCACTAAGTACGAATCCACCCACGACATTGAGCAAGTGTTTGCGAGACACGTAGCGGACGCGGCGTGCCGTGTCCATGACCTCAGAAAGGACAGACACCAGCAAGATGAAGAGGAGCGAGTCGCTGCACACGGCTTCAGCGACAGGCGCGTGGCGCTGGGCCGCGGTCCAGGACTGAAGCAACCACGAAGACGCGGGCGCGGTTAGGGCGAGACTGTAGCGGTAGTAGGCAAAGAGGACGACGAGCGAAGGCCAAAGCTTGGCGAGTGTGCGGTCTACCTGGGGCAGGAACAGACGGAGCGATAGGTACAGCACGAGAGCGGCCACTGCGTAGAGCGGCAGGTGCTCTTCTGGGCTCGACATGACGTGGAGAGTAGAAGGATGTGAAATTTCCAGAGCAAATGCCAAAGTGACGGTGATTATGAAGGTCGAAAGAGAAGGGGTGGGGGAGTTGGGGAATGGAAGAGTGATGGTCATTGGCTCTTCAAGAGCTGCGGAATGGAAGAGTGATGGTCATTGGCTCTTCAGGAGCTGGGGAATGGAAGAGTGATGGTCATTGGCTCTCCAGGAGCTGAGGAATGGAAGAGTGATGGTCATTGGTTCTTCACAGTGTCGATCTTGTTTAGACCAGCAACAGTAAAAGTTGTGGAAAGAAGTATCGCATACTTGATAGCCTTTCTAAACTACTAGCCAGATTTGATGAAGTCTGCACTCATCTAAATATTAGAATGGAGAGTTCGATTACCTCTGTGAGCTGACGAAAGCCTCTGACTCCAAAATATCGGCTTAAACAGGGTTTACGCCAGCTGCTTCATTTTCACTTGAAGATTCAGCAACGAAACGTCACAAAAAGCGCTTGGCGAAGTGGAAAGGATCGAACATTCGATGCCGTTTCTACATAAATGACGAACGAACATATTCGTTTGTGCCATTTTTCCGTTGTGACTTGTCCATGGTGGGGCGAAACTTTGGCCGTCCAGCACGCGGACACTTCGACTTGGGTCGCAACAACCATGTTATTGCACTGATGCTGATGCTTTTGCGTCAAGTGCAGCAGCTGGAGCGAAAACCGCCCGTCACACTTGGGCTGATGGGTACGTCCAATCACAGTATCGATCTTTGTAACTATTGCACTGCTGACGGAAATTTCTGCTGATGCGTAGCTCTGATGTGCGGCCTTTACTATCAACAGAACATCACACCCGAGCTCTTTCATCCCTACGCGCTGCGAGTGAACTGTTGTCGTATCAGAGAGAAGGTGGTGGGTAGATGGATAAGATTGACGAGGTTGGTTGTTGATGTCTTCTGTAGCTGTCCCGATCGAGTTCTCGATCGATTTGAGCTCATGCGGATCGTTGCCTCGGGTCTCATCCACGCGGATGAGTGGCACCTGTACCACAACATGTAAACTTGTGTGATAGAAACAAGTAAACTAAACGGCTACATGGGTCAGCTCTCAACTGACGTTCTCCCTCCGTATGCTGAAGGATATCGTTTCTTTGGAAAGGATACAATCTTGAGTACAAGCTGGGGAGTGTGCAGTTCCTGCTTATCGTTGGATTCTTGCTTGCTCTGAGTCACACTCTTGTGATCGCAGTTGCACTTATTCTAGCTACGTGCTTCCAGATGCCGGTACGTATTACGTGTATATGCGATGCAATCGGCTACGTAAAGACTTGGAGGCTCAGCGCTTTTCGACTTGCTGTTGCTTTGCTTTGTAGGGCCCTTTGCACCAGTGCAGTGTTGGCTTTTCGAGTGTTCTTTTTGCGTTGAAGGTAAGTGAGCACAACTGTCGATCAGTTGCAGATGGCATATTGTATCCCAACGGAGAATGTATTGCTATGGGTCGCTTGTGCAGGTCATCTTGAACCACGATTCTCCAGCATTCTCGACCATTTACGGGTTTTGTGTGCCCACGAAATACGCGGCGTGGCTGGAACTGGTGGCAATTTACCTTCTCGTACCGCAAAGTTCGTTCATGGGCCACATGTGTGGCATTCTAGCTGGTAAGATGCGAACAAAAATGGTGATGCATCGAGGTACTGAGACTTTGTGTAACTACATTCCTACATGTCTGCATGTCAACAGGATATATCTGCGTACGCTTCCTATCGATGCGATCGACTATGATTGTCGGAGTCCGCTGGATCAGCCGATGTCTACAGGAGCTAAAGAAGCTGGTTACCAACCGACGAAACACAGGCACACGAAGAAGTACACCGCAACATGCTCCACGCAGACCGTCTGCCCCCTCGTATGAGACAGACGAAGAACTGGCACGGCGTCTTCAAGAAGAAGAATACCGGTCACATGACGGTCCACGACCGCAACCAGAACAACGTGAGCCCTACCACATCACTCCGAGCGAGCTTCGACGACGGCGTTTGGCTCGGTTCACGAACGGTCGAAGGTGACGCAGCAATGTTTGCAGCAGCACCAGTAAGCTGTCAGTGCCGATGTTTGCATGCAAGCAGCGAGAATTGAATGAACTGCAAGTGTCCTAGTCTAGACACACGACGGATACTGAATCCACGTGTACATCTCGTGTGCTTCGACCCCACGGCTAGCACTCCATCCCATGCGCGTCGTCCATAACTATTCAAAGACCCCCCCCCCGTAAATGATGCAGCAGACAGACGTGACGATGCTGTCCGAGATAACAAGCAGCAAGCACAGCGTACGTATTGTACTCTATGGCAAGAGAGACCGCGCTTGTTTCATTGCTCAGAAGGCGCACTCAACTTCCTCCCTGTTGTCCCAATTTGCCACTTTATGAAGAGGCAATGACGGGGCTTTTGCGCAACCACTTGGCGCGTGCTTTACAACTCCATCTTCCCGTGCGTAATCGAAGATCCACCCAGACTGTTCGCAGTGACCTGGAGAGGGGGGCAAGCATCGTCTACCGGTCGCTGAAATGTGCAGAAATGTCTTGACCTGGGCGAAACACGGTTTACTCGATGACACTTCCCAATTTGCGCCTTCGAGCAACAACGGCCAAGCGACGAAGACGTCCAAAGAACCGGGCGACCGGCGCCCTTACTCTGGGTGGGAAGTCTTCTATCATGGGGCCCGGATTAAAGGGGGAGGCCTTCATGCCGCTGCGTGCGCTACGGGAGGCAGCGCAGCGTGCAAACCAAAAGGGCAGCAACAACCCAAATACCCGGAGGTGAGGGGTTCGGCAACAGCGGTTGCCAACCCCTTACCTAGTACCTACTTTACTACTTCAGCCTTCGAGTTGTCGGCCCAGTCGCCGAGCTTGACTCCCGAGCCTCACGAAGCAAATTCGCCTAGAACATGATCAAGATCGGCCCAGTCCATGTGCGTCAGCGGTCCATCGGGGGTGATCGGTCTGCTCCCCGGCATTTTCCTGCGACTTCAGCGCCCTGACTGCATCCCGGACTGGATATCCGATTCCACGTGCCCTCCGCGAAGTGCCTTCCCCCGTGATAACCGAGGAGCCGAGCCAAGCAGCCAAGAAGACAAAGGTGTAGTTTAGGCAGCAGCATACCGATTTCGAATAGGGCATCAGCACTTGATCGACGTTCAGGATTTACTACTGCTTTACCTGATGAGACACTCATCTCTGCGGATCAGGTGAAGGGACGAAACAGCAGCTATGAGGTCACACACACACACGCGATAGCCCGCATCTTCCCGCAAGGCGCTTTCGCCTGTCCAAGCGACCAGCTACGAAAGACGTCATCCACGAGACATGCCATCCAACTTAAATGGTTGTTCTTCCCGCGTCGCCTGATACGGTCGGAGCACTGTTGTTGCGACACGCTTTTTCAACGCTGTTCGCTCACTTCTTGTCTGGGTGCCAAAAAAGGTGTTTGCCAGAGTCTCGCTGCGCGGAGGTTCACGCGAGCTTTAGAGGAGATTCACGCGAGCACGACACAAGCAACACAGTGCTATCGGACTATCGTTTGATGCACAGTCGTCATCAGGAGGCACTCGCAGGTAGCTTGAACATTTATGGTTCTGGAGGTACCTCTATAATAGGCTTGAAGCGCCGATATCGGCTCGTTAGCCCGAAGTCTCCTGGCATGCAATGCTGATGAATTTCGGGCTGGATACAGGAAGTGATAGGTCACTTGAGACTTTACATACTCGCCATGCACGACTCTCGTCGCTCGCCGCAACATATTTGGAAGCAGGTATGTTGTCATTGCGCATTGTTTCAGCGTGAGGAGCTGAGTCCCCGCAAAAACACTACACTCAAAACATAGAACGATCGCGCCCAAGCCTCGATCGTGCACAAACACGCACCATTGGCGTGCTTGCATCGTAAGTGGCTCTGATACACAAAAACAGATTGTGGCGTCGTGGCACACTCATTGAGTGTTTGATCTGACTAAGGACGACGGAAACGTCCAAAAAGCTCGTCAACTACAACAGCGGCATTTCGTTCATTGCTTTCGTAGTGTGGAGGCATTGTCGACAGCATATTCAACGCGCTTCTCGCTAGGTTACCACAAGAGACCGAAGCGCTGCTGCTGAAGCTAGAGAGCAAATGAGATCGAATCTGTGAAGTACAAGCCTGGTGCCGCTGACCTTGTGTTAGCGATAGCAAGTGCAGGTGAGACTGCATGCTGTCACATTGTTGTCAATGTGAGTGTATGGACCCGCATTTTAATCGTAAAAGCAGCTGCTGCTGCATGCAACAACGCGGGGCAGCTCATTGCTCGGCAGTATTGAGTCGCAACGCTCGTAGAATATTACATGGTCTGCAAACAGCACTACCATGTTCTATCGGACACTTAAGATGCAAGGTTACGCTAACCGTCCAAAGTAAGTGTGTGCAAGCTTTAATTCTAGTGAAGCAGGTGGGTGCACTACCATTGACAGCATTATGATGAATTGCTCAGTCAAATGAAACGGCGAAGTCGTTTGTACATTGAGGGCGATGTCGTGATTCCAATGTCCCGCACATGAGCGTAATTGAAGCGCACAACCGATTCAGTCAAAAATGACCGTGGCTTTTTGCTGTTGTTGGTATTCGATACACCAGAAATTAAAGTGGAGGAGTGCCAATCGACTTGTAAAAATCGACTTGTAAAAATCGACTTGTGCCAACCTATAGAACATGACTGCGTGAAGCCGCACACAGTTGTGCGTACCAACGAGATACTTACATTGTACACCGAGTAAGAATGCACGCGTTCTTTTCCGAGTTTCTGCGATCAAGATGTAAGACTCAGATCAGCAAGTGGCGCATCATTGCCATTTGCCACGCCTTCATAGCCGGAACAGAATGCATGTTGAGCTGATTGTACGACACGTAAGTTGTAGCAAGCAACCGACGGTGTATGAAGAGGACGTGAGGGTTCTCGGCAAAAATAAGCAAATGAGTCAGCGCGGGTGTCATAAGTTGCAAGTTGACTCTAGAGCTCGTTGATGTGCTGAAATTACGTGCCAGATGACCTCCGACTGAAAACCGTCCGGTCGGATCAGAGACCGCATCTCGGAGGTACTTCAACAATAGAAATTTCTTCCCGATTGGTCATCACCTGATGTGAGATCAGCGTACGGTCCACTGATCTGGATACACTCCGTCCTAGAAGAAGATATGAACGTTATTATTTTCGTTGATGATGGACAGTTCGTGTGCGCTCGAACGTCGCGATGACACTTGATTGCGATCGTTTTGAATCGAAACAGAAAGGAAAACTGTAGGACTTGGTTAGCTGATGAAAGAAACGACTCACGTGAGACCTTCGTAGTGCTTTTACGACGGAGTAGCTGAATGCATGTGCGAGTTTGCTAAAGACTACTATACTTTCCAATTTACTTCCTGACTACTAGTTGCCCCCTCTGCTATAATACCTCATGAATTTTGCTGAGATGAGCTCGGTGTAGATGTGCTGGAGTGAAAACAGGTCAAGAAGCTCCTTCTTACTTTCTCTCATGGTAACCTGCTTAACAAGCGTGCCACACCACGGACACTGTTGGCGAGGATGTCGCCGGCTTGTACGTTTACACAGTCATCAGTCAAAGTGTGACTAGCCTCCTCATGACAGCATTAGTCACGCGTGCTCGATATACTACACTAAAGCATAATTCACTATTTGCGCACCGGTAGCTGACCGGAGCTTTCCATTTAATGAAACGAGCCATCGATCGACTGGATGGATAACGAACGAGTCACGACTCACTGCATCGCCACTGAACAAACTTCGAGCAAACGTTCTTATCGCGTTTGGCCATTCAGCCCAAGACCTGCATCTGACAAGTCAGTCCGCACAGTTCGACAGAACGACACCAGCAACACCCCACACCTGATGGGGTCAAAAATAGCGTTCCGCGCACCTGTCCACTGCTCACAACTACGCGCGTCAATTAACAGCTATTGCATCATCTCCATGCCGGAATGTATTGGTGCCCAACGGAAACGGCCATAGCTACATTTAGCAGCATTAAATGGTAGTGTCATATTCACTACACTTCGCTCGAGAAACACTGGTGTCACAAAGGTGTATTCCTCACATTATTTAGTACTTTGTTGGACAACTCGCTCCGAGAATCAATCACACATAGCGACCAATTGATGTGCAAACCTCAAAGTCCGACTGATAGCGATGCCGGCGTCATAAGACGGAGGTGTAGGGGGAAGGAGTATCCGCACTGCTTTGTGATCTCCCGTCGAGACACGGATACATTGATGTCTACTTATGTGCGAAAATTTGAAAGCATCTGAGCCGAAAGAAGCGACGGATTCGAAAGCTTGTCGTGGCAAGTCTCTGTAGAAGCAAGGATTGTACCAAAGGTGAATAAGTCGATATAGGCGCGCAAGAAAGGGCTTTAAGAGAGAGTAACAGACTGTCTTATTACCTTTACGGTTTACGAGATTGCTGGAAAATCTCTAGCCGCTCGAGCACCCAAACCGGTGGTGTGAGCTGCCGTCCAGGGTCATGTTATGTAAACGGTCGCGGAGAAACCAGGGTGGAAAAGAGCTCTGTCGCTAGCTGGAAAAACATACAGCCGTCCCCGTCACGGTTGAACCGGTGTTCCCTGACCGCTACAGCTTGTAGCTGTTGAAGCGTTGTTTGTCGTAGTTCGGATTTCGCTTGGTCAGCGGTTGTTTCCTCGTGATTGTGCACCCAGCGCTTCCGCTGTGTCCATGGGGTGGCGAAGCAGATGGAACACGCTATCCACCAATTTCATGCCCAAGCCCTGTCAATCTCCCCCGCCGTGTCCGGAAACAGGCGGCCGATCCCCGCTCTGACGCGTGGAGGTAGGTCTGGTGCGGTTCGAGATAGCACTGCTGCTTAGTGCGCGAGTAATTGCGCAGGCTGGACACCCATCCGGGTCCAATGAGCCACAATATACGCCCCACACTTTGCCGCTTCCTCGCAGTTCTGGATAATGTAAATAACCCCCTCACGCTGTCCCCGACAGGCCACATAACGTGTGC